TACCGGCCATGATTTTGGCGACTACGATTATTTTTCCTGAAGGGACGACCCGAATACGGATTTATTTGCGAATACGTTCGCGTTCGAGGTTTTGCTGTGATTGACGATAAAAGCAACGGTATACAAAAAAATGCCGTAGGAGGCGACGCTCCATGCATCACAATATTCGCGATGTTATAACGAACTTTGATGAACACACGAAAACTATTTATCAAATAAATTGCCGGAGACATTCGGAGGTTTATTTTATTGTAAGCTCCGGCTGCTTTCGTAGCGGATATACAATAACTACGTCATCCGCGCATTCCCGTTGGGAGGATTTCAACTACAGGATTTGTGCGCTCACACAAAAAGGTAGATATATATATATCGAATATATTTATTGGAAGACGAATGTGGTGCTCGGTATCGCACAAAGCGTTCTGCGGAGAAAGATATAAAGTTAAAATAACGAAACGAATATTTTCGAATTGAATCTGAAAATCGATTTATACCTGCAGAATGTCAAAGAAATATTTATTTCTTACTTTGACACGAAAAATATTTGAATTTTCCCAACACATATGGCATCTTTGTGTCAACATCCAAGACATAGTTAAATATATTTATTGTTAACCTGATGATATTTCGATAAATCCGACATAAATACGTTTATTCTTCTATTCTCAGTTTACGGATCTCTCTCTCGTTCGTGTTTATATAACTCGAAATTATATAACTGCGTTAACAAGCAGAATTAAATGGAAAAAGGAAAGACTACAGTTAGTCTTCGAATTCTTTCTCTTCATTAATTAATGAAATTTTCAATAATTACAGTACGAAATAACTTATTGCTCACAGTAATTAATTTAAGAATTGATCGCCATTTAGGCGAAATTACTTCGTGATACGAGCGTATGAAGTGTTGTCTCAGATTAGTGAAATTGATCTTGGACATTACAGATCATTGTAGGTATTAATCTGCTTGTATTATATTCGGCCAATAGTAATTAGAATCATGTCTATGTCAAACGGAATTCGATAGCTTTCAGCAACCGTAACACCGATTAAGGCGTTGGAGACGTCACGTCGTGAGTTCTGTAATTGAAATTAACTACGAGAGAGAGCGAGAGAGAGAGAGAGAGAGAGAGAGAGAGAGAGAGAGAGAGAGAGAGAATGTATATGTGTGTGTCTCACAAAGTGACGGCTTCGCATTTGAACTTATTACATAGCGAAATTCCTGTGTAAAAGTGAAATCCGAGACAATCTAAATTCTTCAGAGAACCACCAAGTTTTCTGACACGACTACAATGGAGGTATAGCAGATCGTAAAATATCCGATTTCCGGCTTGAAAACTCTCTTTCCATTATTATGCGCAATATAAACATCGACCGTTGAATACGACAAGTCGAAGCTACTTTTGCAGTGTATTTTCACAAGAAATCTAATATCTTGTTGCTGTATCGCCGTACATGAGAGATGCATTGTAATTCGTTTCGAGAATAGATATTTCCATCGAATAGAAATTACGTGTTCCTCGCATGGTAATTATTGCATTAATCATTCACCGGGGAACGGTAATATGTGTTTGCTTATAAATCGTCGATGCGACGCATGACCCATCAAGTTACGGCGTCTCTCTAAGTTGCAGTGATCCGGTCTGGGATGCGAAACACCTCGGCACTTATGCTTACGAGCACGACCACATCCTGTCTCATCCATCATGTAACAATGGGGTGTTTGCCTCGAGAACCTCGAGCGCACACGGGATATATCCCGAGGGATTTTCGGACACATGTGTCTTGGGAGTTGAGTCTTCTTCTTCTTCAAGAGAGATCTCCGGAGATCCGCCGCATTTGTTTCAAAGAATTTCTCCGGCGATTGAACGCGGACTTCGCGTCGATGGCGTATCCCCGAGGTATTGCAAATCGATGCCCTTCAATTTTACGATGCGATCCGCGTATATCGTTCGATCCGCGTCTCGACACGCGTATAATGATAGCATCTTGATAAGAAAGGAGCTTTGTTTCGATATGCTTGTCGGGTTCCCATTCACCTTTCATCGATCGCCTTTCATCAGGTATCGCGATCGTAAGCAGATACGACCGACAAGAAGAGCAAGCGATTTGAATTTACTCCGACGTGTTTCTCATCGACGCTTTTGCGAAAATATCAATACGCTCCTTGATTCGATCGAAACTTTATCGGTGATAAATTTGCAACCGCGTTATCGATAGTCGCGGGCCTCGCGCATTTGTTTCAGACGAATTTTAAATGTAGATTCTCCTGTTAATGTCGATCGTCTAGTTGAATCCCTTTCGCGAATTATGGTTTATCATATAAATTGCAAGATTTCTCCGTCATCTTTATACGTCAAACTCGAGCGGTACCTCATTTCGTAGACAATAACTTACTTTCACAAAGAGATAAGGTCGTGCCACGCTTGCAGAGCCCCGCAAATTTGTTTTCTCCCATTCTGCAAATAGTATTGTTTCGCTTTTTTAAAAACTATATTTCTTCCGCTCTTGCCGTGACATTCACGCTTAACCTGTTTTTAGGGATTATCCGTCACCGTGTCCTCGTTTTAATGGTACGATTCTTTGATGCGATATTTCAATCATGTCGATTTGCGCAACGATATTTTCTACAAGTATTATCGTAATTGGTGCATCAATAATACGTCAAGAATTCACAGAAATGATGAAAAACTGATTGAAACTCGGAACATGTCTAAATGCAGATTTGTAACGTTGTCAATTAATAAATAATAAAAAAATTCGGAGGTTTATTCGTCAAAAGAGCAGAGCATTAGAGACTACGTAATAGGTAATATGTTGGACGAGCTGTCGGGGATGGCTGTTTGGACCGACCACAGCTAGTGTGAATGCGACCGTAGGAAATCGGCTTTTGCTCGCCCGTGCAACGCGAACAATGGGCAATAAAAGCGATAAGAGTTAATTTCATCGGCCGGTGCACGCTGGAGAGCGGCCACTCGAACTCGAATCGCGTGTGTCGTCAGTTTGTGACGCGAGGCCGGTCGGAGGGAAGAGAATAGGCCGGCATGCGCCACCGTTCGCGTTCGCATCAGTTGCGCGTAAAGCAGGAAACGCGTACCGTCATCCGTCCTCTCTCTCTCGCGATCGTCGCAGTTTCGTTCGTCGAGAGAAAACAGACACGGGCAAGGAACACCGAGTCGTGAAAGGGGGTAAATTGCGATCTACAGTGCAACGATATCGCCAAAATGTCTCGTTCAAGTACGATCTTCATGTAATTAAACATTCGCGTTACGCACCGCCGGCGTAATATGAAATTTTTTATCTTTCACGTTTTTGTTACGATATAACAGTAATATCTGGACTCTTCTGTTCTATTTGGACTCTTCTGGTTCACAATGGTCTTATAAGCGTAAGCAATCATTAATTTTCGACATTCGGCCTATCGATAAGAACCAATTTTAATCTTCTCAATTAACATGTTAACGTAATGTAATTGACGAGGTGATGACTCGACATATTTTTACAGAATGATATGGAGGGGTAAAAGTCATAGTGGTGTAAGTCAAATGTTTTCTCGTATGCATAGATGCAATCTATACAATGTACATATAAATTGTATTTATGCACACGAAAAAATATTTTTTAAAATTTGACTTACACCACTGTGGTTTTTACCCCTCCATATAATCTTTTTCTTTGTGATTTAAAATATTTTTTTTATATGATATATGATGATTGTCCTAAACAAAGAAGTATTCATCGCAATAATCCTCGCGCGAGCAAATAAATAAATGCATTGATGAACCGGATATTTATTCTCGCGCGAGATGGAGGAAAATATTGCATATATTGCAATTAATCGGATTTCCTTTCGATCAATATTTATGAAATTGCTACATAATAATAGTTGCGTTCGGTTATTGATTAATAACTGAATACAATATGTGCAATATATTTCACGAATATACTTTTGATGTGAGTGCAAATATTCATCGTAATATAGCCGCGGGTATGTACACAACGTATTTTGTAATTCACGTGACGCACTCGTTACAAATAGTACGAATAATAGACGATTTATGCCTTGCGGAGTTAAATTCTAGATTTAAACCGCTGTCACGACAACTGCATATTACCTCTGCCTGCCGTCCGCATTATCGTATAAACCCGGGTAAAACTGCTATAAAACTCATGAAACGTCAAGGCGTCAATCTATCTCTGCTTCTGTGTTATTTTATATCATCAAGTATTAAAGGTAATGCACTTTTATGCCTCAAATATCATGTCACGTACTTCAGGAGGATTTACAATCATTTAAGACAAAGTTATCTACAATCTGGGATGTAGGCGTCAGTGGCGTCACCCGGTCTCAGCAGGACTTTTCAGAATTATCTGTCTTAACTTCAATGATATTTTTCGGTCAACTTTGATCTATAAATTCTATACACTCTTTACTCCGATTAACCCTCCAGTGGGCGCCCCTCTAGTGCGTGGGATGTATTTTACACCCACAACAGCTTGTAAAAGATAAATGTTCTGAACTCATTTCAATACAGAACCGATTATTATCGAAAAAACATTAAGCATTAAACATTAAAATTAAAGTTTTGAACGTGTTAATATACTTTAAGATATGTGCAGCAATAAATAATATTAAACAGAAAATAAAAAATATTAATTTGATTTAATACTTATATCATAAATAACGTGGGGTGTAATTTACGCCTCACGCGCCCTTTTCAAATTTTCACGCGCCCACTGGAGGGTTAATATTCAGTATATTCAGTAACTTCCATCGATAATTATTTTATATCTTTTTCAATCCGGCTAATTTCCTCCTCCTCTTTTCGTTCTTTGTTCATAGCGCAATTCAAATATTAACCAGAGAGTTTCTCGTCAGTCGCCAAACTGGCTGCGGCGATTAATTCGCTCGTAGCGGCGAAGAAGGAGAAAAAAGGAGAAAAAAGAAAAAAACGTTAAAAAAAGAGTGGTAGGGAGAAAGAAAGAGAGAGAAAAAGAGAGAAGAGGGTGGAGCACTTGAACAACGCGTTGCGGCGTCCGGCAAACGCGTCCTGCGACCGACACATTTTCCGTGCCGATGCACTTACCCTCGCGCACCCTCTCCGCGCGCGTTGCACCCTATACAATACCGACGACGACGATCTACCCCTCCGTGCGCTCCCCCACCCCCGTCCTGTGTCCCGTCACACATGCACACACACCATATACTTTCTTTCGTCCGTCACCCCACTTGTCTACCCTTCGCTCACCTACGAGTGACGACGCCTGTCTCTGGAAATAGTCGCTACAAAGCGATTCACCGTGCATATCGTGCCGTTGACGTGATTGCCGGAGCCGCTCTCTTTCGTTCTTCCGTCGTCAAAAAGGACCGGCCGATGACGGAGATTTCGGCGCGAGCGACGCGAAGATGATTATTTTGGGCGCGGGCCGACCCGGTGCTTGTCGACAGATTTTCGCGGCCACGCGCGGTGAAACTCGATGTAGCGACGGTATCGCAACGGGGTTTAGCGCAAGCTTTTAAAACCGACGATATTTCCGTTATGATATTACGCGCGTTATCAAATTGTGCAACGATAATGACAGTGCTTGCCGCCTTTGTTTGGATCTCTATACTATTTGTCCTTTATATGTGCATCGTGAAACTCTATCCTCATCGCAGCTCTTGGCTTCCATTCATTTCGACCGCTATTAATCGGCTTTTGAAGAGAGTGCACTTCTATATCTGACGGAATATTCGGCGTGCCTGGAATGAAACCTGCTGAATTTTATCGCAAACATGCGGCACGACGCAGATCTGCGAGCGACGAATGCGACGACGACAAGTACACGCAGAAAAGATTGTGAAACTATTTAATGTGAAATTATTGTTTTAGCGAGTTAAAAAAAATATTCAATTTTACATTTCAAGATAATCATCCGCTGCCGAAATGTATACAAATTTTATTTTTAATCGAATACGTGTCTCGTTTGGTGGCATAAGTTTCTGTTTATCGACGTTAGGACAACGATAAATATAAATTTTTCATCTTATAGTTCGAAAGATGAAAAAATTATATAAATATTCTTTCATTCAGTCAGCCGAAAATCGACGAAGATTGAACGATGACGTTGAGTCAGGCGTTGAATTTGTTACACGAAACGAATGACAGTCATCACGAGAGCGATCACGGTTCAGCCGGAAAGTGAAAAATGATTCCTTGCGTACCTCGTTATAAGCGAGGGCACACGTGGATAATCCAGTGAGCGATGTACGTTATGTGCCGGTGATTGAATATCGCATCGCTGCCGCCACGCGTGTTACGACCAGTCTCTTGAGAAGAGAAGTGGCACTTTATTCATATATTATTCGCGACTATATAGAGGCATCGATACACCGATAATCGGATACACGACTGCGCTCACTCGAGCGCTCGGGACCCATGTCGGAGATGTGCGCTCGTTAGTCGCTGGGATGGATAAACGAAGGAAGGGAAACACGTCGAGAAGGTATCTCTCTTAACCCTTAACCGGGCAACCTCCTTTCCGATCAAAGTAGAAGCACGCAATCTTCTCTATGTTAATTATCTCATAGAGCTTCTTTAGCAAAGATATAGAGATCCACGTGTTTAGATGAAGGATAATGAACGGATGACAAAAATCCGCGTGAACCACTCGATACATAAACCGAAAGATAGCTCGCGGAATCGCGAGGATTAGCTTAATATCAGATTTAAGATATTTGAGGTAACATAATTTTTTTTTTTATTTATGTGAACAGAATCGATAATACGCAGTATTTGATATTCGATTTCCAGGAACCGTGCGTATCGGGGGTGTTGATACATTCCTATATGCACATAATATATGGGTAGCACGTGCTACCCGACAGAAGGACTGTTAATGAACCGCAAGCGGAATCAAAACGACCTCTCTCTCTCTCTCTCTCTCTCTCTCTCTCTCTCTC